GCGGCGGGGGGCTCGCCAACAATGCGGCGTTTTTTGGGCGCCCGCGCGCGCTCCCCCGGGGCGGGTGAGGGGCCGCGGGGCAGGAGGAGGAAGGGGCGAGAACACATGATAACGCCGGCGCATCACCCCCGGGCGGCGGTGACCCGTGCAGGCTAGCGCTGGGGGGAGTTGGGGTGCGGGGACCAGGTGCCTGTTCCGGGCCGGGCTGGACCTGGGCTCCTCCACCTGCGATTTCATGTTTGGTGGCTTTCTGGGCTCTCGCCTGCCATTGGCTGTGCGGGCAGCAGGGCTAGGGAGGCCAGGCGGGGCGGGGAGGGGAGGGTCTTCCCCGCTGGGAAGGAGCCCCCCGTCCGGCCATGTCTCTTGCCCTGGGGCCGAGCCTGGTGGGGACAAGGACAAAGGGGTGGAGGGGCAGTCGCGGGGGCGAGGAAGAAGCGAGGGAGTGCTCGGGGGGACAACGTGCTTCTGCCTGTGGCTCCCACCCGGGGGAGATTGTGTTCTTTCTTTGAGTCTAGTTTCATGGTGGATCCAAGCCGAGGACACGTGAAGAATGAGCAGCCCCGGCCCGCTTTCCCCGGGCGCACACGCGGGAAGGCTGAGCTGGGTCCCGCCCCCCCCCCGGCTTTTAAGGGCCCGCTCCTAATTCTCAGCGCTTGTGAGGAGCACAATGGTGGGGCTGTGGGGGGAGGGGTCTGGCTCTGTGGAGCCTTTCCCGGGCAAGCAAAATGTTGCCTGAAGATGAAGAAAGGAGACGGAAATGAAAGGCAGCACTGTATTGCATTTCATATAGCGATCTAGGAGGAGGGAGTTTGTTTTTGCCGTTTTGTTTAATGATACACTGGAGTGAAAGGTTTCACTTATTCCGTGGCAGAGTCTTCTTGCGATCCCTTTTAATAGGTATTCCATGGAAAACAGTGAAGTCCATTAGTTAGCAATGAATGCATTTCCACATGTCCTGTATTTTATGTGGAAATGTGCAGTAAATGGGTATGCCTCAGTTTGTCTGAGTGGGGTTTTTTTTCCACCTAACTCCTACGAGCTGTATTAGTAAACAGGAGCCATTTAATTTCATTTGAAGAGATGTTGATGCATGTTGACGAGTTCTTTTGTTATGTGTACTTTGGCCGCTCCAGTCTGCATGTGCGGTTACACATGGCTCAGGGAGAGCCCCGTGTAACAGGACAGAAAAAAGCCACGTGTAACAAAACGGTAGTCAAGGATTTTTAGCATAAAGTGCTGTCTGATTCAGGGAGGCATTTCTGAACAGAAGGAGTCCTGAACCAGAGGGGAGACGGTCACCACCAATGGGGACTGTTGCATTTCAGCAATTGTGAAGAAGCATGCTCTCTTCATGAGCCTGTGCTGCTTGGCTTCATTTATCACCAAAGTAAAAATGATCATTTAAATCCACTGTATAGTTTTGTCATCTTAATTCTTATTGACCTTCAGTGACAATTACTTTTGCAATTGACAAAATGTGCATTTGTGTTCCCACTGTTTACAACTCAGCCATTGTAGAAAATAAGCAAAAAGTTCCTGGGTGTAGATAGATTTTTTTTTTTTCCTTCATTCAACATGACTAGTTTCCACCCGCATCTGACCTTCTTCTTAAAGGACCTTGTACTTCATATGAGCCTGTAAAATCCACCTGAAACAGAACTATTGTTGTGTTCAGTCTGTGCATGAGGGGAACATGCCATCACCAAGCTTGGATTCTTAGTCCAAGCTGCAGACTGCTTCAGTAGTATTACTTTGATCTGTACTAACTTGCAATTTAATTTGCATGTGCTCATGTTTACATGTGTGGTCTGTACAGCACTGTGCAGATGTTCTGTCATTAAACTGTTAAATCGAGTATATTGTGAATTTGAAGTAATCTTCTAGTTGACCATTCTGTTATGCTGTATATTTAAAGAGAGAGAGTGGGAATTCATATACAAACATGGATCAGTGGTTCAACATAAAAAAAAAAAATCTGAAAGTCCAATAGTGGGGGAGATAACCCCAGCCACTTTATGCTGAAAGTGTCTTTGTAATGTGGCAGAGAGTCTTGTATAGAACTCCACTATATTATTTTATTTGTAATGTAAAAAGTTGTTTAACAAAATGCTTTAAAAAGTAAATCCAGAATGTTAATGTAAAACTTGGTTTATACTGTATGACAAAAGGCTATTTTTAATAGCATCTACAAATTTAATTTGTATCAATGTGGTACTCAGAACGCTTGGGCAATCATTGTTTTGCTAGGAAACTGTTACAATTCAACATATAACTGATTTTTTGGTAAGCATCTACACATGTTTATAGTTAACTAGATACTTAGCAAACCTCTTGAGGGAAAAAAAAAACATTGATCCAGGTTCCCAACTTTTAAAAAGAACTAGCTGTCACCTTTTTAATCTCTCTTAAAATTTCTAAAGCAAAAATTGAGCTTAATCCTCTTGGTTAAATAATTTTACCTCAAAATGAGGAAAAGATTATACCCTTATCCTGTTAATGGTTGTGATTTCCTTTGGAAAAAAAAAACAACTTTTTAATTTTAACTTCAAAATAAGCAAATGATACCTTTTTACTAGGTTTTAATGACCTTGCAGAAAGCCTAATCGTTTATCTAAAACTTCCCCTGCCCCTCCCCCCCCCCCTAAAACTAATTTAACGTTAATGAATAAAACCTCTCTAAAAAGACTTTCTTCAGTTTTCTAACAAATGTTAGACTGGTAGCTGTTACATTAACCATCAACTGTAAATAACTATTCTTGTTCTGTGGTAAAGATTATTTTTAAGTGATTTAAAAAAAGAAGTATTTTAAGTGAGAATTATAGTTAAGAAAATTATTTAACCTAATGGACTGGTTGATCAGTGTAAGTGATGATTAAGATGGAAAAGGAGGACGAATGTGTTTGATTATTTTTTTCCCTATTACCATAAAAAAGCAACAACCAAAATATAGAAATTATAACATCTCCAGTAGGGTACAAAGGTGATATTTTGTAGGCTGCTTTGGGGCCCTGCCACTGGTCTACTGACCTCTGAACTATTTAGAAAGAGTTCAGCTTGCAGCAGAGAAACGTGAGGGTAGGATCTAGGTCTGCCATGTCTGTATGACCTGGATGAAAAATA